CTCAATCGGATATCAGAATACAAAGTTATAATAAAAACATTGAAAGAAGGTGCAGCTGCCTGTTTAAAACAAGAAATTTCGTTACATAGTCCGTTATATTGAGACCTATTTTTGGCATAGAACGTGATCCAATTGGAGAATGATGTCTGAATCAAAGTTGTAGTCAGATGAGTTAGCTTTCCAATACATTTTGAATTGCCTCAATCGGACCTCGAAATACAAAGTTATGATAAAAACACTGAAAGAAGGTGTCGCTGCCTATTTAAAACAAAAAATTCCGTTACATAGTCCGTTATATTGAGACATATTTTTAGCAAAGAAAGTGATCGAATTGGAGAATGATGTCTAAATCAAAGTTGTAGCCAGATGGGTTATCTTTCCAACGCATTTTGAATTGGCTCAATCGAACATCGGAATACAAAGTTATGATAAAAATACTGAAAGAAGGTGCAGCTACCTATTTAAAACAAGAAATTCCGTTACATAATCCGTTAAAACAACAAATTCCGTTAGTTTTTCCGTTAAACCAACAAATTCCGTTAAATAGGCACTTTTTATATATAGAAAGATATTATATTTTCTTTATTAATAGAACATGAAATCTAGAGTGGTTTAAAGAATAAAGAGAAAAAAAAATGGTAATGCTTTCTAAAATTTCATTACAAAGACCCATAAATTTTCTTGAGATGGAGAATTGATTAGATGGATTTTACCTCTTGATGGATATTTCGGAGCATGTAACTGACACGAACTTGAAAGCTATCATTTCCGAAGTCCTCTTGTTCTTCTCGTATTTGCTCTGCCGAAGTCACAACCGAAGGGCTAGCGTCGTCCAAGTCTATGATTTTAAGCGTTGGTATATATCCAATACTACTTGGGATCTCCTCTAGATTGAAACATAGGCGAATAATTAGGCACTCAAGACAAGGGAAGTGAGTCTTATCAGCTCTCCATTGCTTTAGATTTAATTGTCCAAGTAGTAGAAATTTTAGTTTGCAAAATTCTCCTTCTGTTGGCTCCCATTCTGGCCCATCAAAGGCGTGACATATCAGTTTGAGCACTTCAAGGTTTGGCATTGAACCAACAATAGTCATATGTTTCCAAGGAATTTCGCAAAGCACTAAAGTTATCTTTTTGATAGTTGGTGGGAAGGTGAAATTCATCGGGACACTCACACCACGGCTCATTATTTTCAGCTTCTCAAGTTCGGGAAGATTAACAAGATTACCTAGAGAAAAGATTGTCATTCCAACTTTATCAGTGATAATTACTAACTTTTTTAAATTTGGAACACTTTCGAAAACCTCCTTGGTACAGCTGGAACTATCCAATCTCGACAATGTTACAAGGTTACCTAGAACTAAATTCTCCCCATCGATTGGTGATCTAGCAGGGTCTGGCAAATAACACTTCCCGAATAGGAGATGCCTTAATTGTGAATATTCATTTGCAACCAATGAGTTTTGTACCTTCTAGCAATGGGACAAGATCTCAAACTAAATTGTTTTGCATAGACTTATACTCCTTATTCATGACATCAATCCACTTTTGAGAGTTATTCCTTTGCATGACTTGATGAAAGTTGATTGAGCGGGTCTTCTTTCAACAATCCATGTCATCCTTATTTTCTTGGAGATAATCTATAAAAAAATCTACAATTGTTTTTCTCCTTTTTGTAGTGGATTTCCTTAATGACATTTGTTCTTGAGGTTGTTGAGTTTGAATTTCTGAAACAATCAAGAGATTGTGTATAGAGGATTTTGTAATGTAGTCTGATCTGAAATTGCTTCTTGAACAAAATCTGGAGCAAGAATTTGTCCCTAAACCTGATCATTGTCAATTGCAATAGAAGAAATATATACATATTCTTCATTCAAGACAAAATCCTTAACCGTATAACCTTATCTCCCCCTGTAAACTCTAAATTCTCAAGGAATCGAACATTTTTCATTTAAAAATTGACTTAATAGTGGGATCTTTAAAAATTTGTAACCCATTAAAAATTGTTTTACTTGGAACTGTGTTGAGAATTTAAGTTGCATTTTTTACTGATCTTTTCTAGAACGATCCTAATGTACTGTGGAATGATTCCACATTCCTCTAGGAATTTTAACAAAAGGCCTTGGACATTGTTCTCCTGATCTGTCATATCTATCAAGTATTCACCACTATGGTAAGATTTGACTTGTTGAGTTCTTTTACCGATTTGATTTTCAATCTCGGTTTTGTATGTCTTGAACATTTCCAGTGTTTGGGATTCCTCATAGATGAGATATAGGTAGCCATAGTGAAGAAATTTGTCTATGAACATAATAATTGATTGTTGACCATTCCAAGAAGTCGAAGGGAATGGTCCACAGATGTCCGTATGAATTAGTTCCAAGACATCTGAAATCCTATGACACTTACTCTCCTTATGTTTGTTTATTTTCCCTCAATGCAATTGATATAAACACTTAAGTCTGAAAAAAATGAAGGGAATCAAGAATTCCTTCCGACACAAGATTTTCCATTCTCTTTTAACAGAAGTGACCTAATCGCTTGTGCCATAGCATAGTAGAAGTGACCTAATCGCTGGAACTATCCAATCTCGACAATGTTACAAGGTTACCTAGAACTAAATTCTCCCCATCGATTGGTGATCTAGCAGGGTCTGGCAAATAACACTTCCTGAATAGGAGATGCCTTAATTGTGACATCCTCCATATTTCCTCTGGTAAATGTACATCGTTACAATCTACAATTAAGGTTTGTAGATACCAAAGAAAATCTGGTAATATTTTAGGTATGGAAATTTTCCCATCATATGAAAAAGCGATGTACCTTGAGTGCACTAATTTAATTTCTCCAATTGGGAAACCATCTACTTTTCCTTTAGCAAGATCCAACACCCTGAGCAGTGGAAAAAGTTTTCCGTCGCCTGATTCACAAATGTCGTCAAAACCGGAACCTAAAACAGAACGGACTGGTGGCAAGGATCCTATGGACAGATTGACATTTGAATTGTCACTGTTTGATAATTCCTGGTGAAAAATATCTGGACTAATACAAAGGCGACGTGAATACTCTATGCCTTCAGCAAAAATGTTGACATCTTTATCTGTGACATGAAAAAACTTCTCCTGCTGGGCTTTTCTTATGCATAGGTCCCTTAACAGATCATGGATGCGACAAGTTTTTATCTTTCCACTAGAACTCTCCTTGCCAAACAAAATAAGATTTCTGGAAATTAGATCTGCCAAATATTTCTCTGCTACTTCTTCCAATGTTTTATCTTTGACTGGTTTTAGAAATCCCTCTGCAGCCCATAACTTGGTGAGTTTGGAGACACGGATTTTATCATCTTCTGGAAAAACTCCCATGTAGAGAAAGCATGCTTTGAGATAATGAGGCAAGTAATCGTAACTTAAAGATAGTATTTCCGAGCAGTTTGCATCTGCTGCATTTAGAACTGACTTGAAATTTTTTGCAACATACTCCCAGTGATCTTTCGTCCTGTTGGCTTTGGAAAGGTGGCCGCCAACCACGGAAAGGGAAAGTGGAAGTCCTTTGCAATTCTCTGCAATCTCCTTTCCAGCTTCCTCCAGTTCAAGAGGGCAAGAATCTTCTCCAAACACCTTCTGCCGAAGTAGAATCCAACTGTCAGTCTCATTTAGAAATTGCATATGATGGGGAGAGCTATAGGAGTCAACCACACTCAACAGCCGTGTTGTAAACATGATTCGGCTTCCATTCCCCTCGTCCGGAAATATACTTCTCAAAGAATCCCAAGGCTCTGTAGTCCAAACGTCATCCATCACAACAAGATACTTCCGACCTCTTAAACTTTTATATAGTTTATCTTTTAATTTTCCAGTATCATTCTCTTGACGCATTTCAGCACTGAGTTGTTTCATGGAATCCAAAAGGCGTAGCAAGACTTCTAGCTCACTATATACATGAGAAATTGATGCCCAGGCTCGAGTGTGAAAATGACGTTCAATATGTGGATCATTGTAAACATTTAAAGCAAGGGTGGTCTTGCCAATGCCTCCCATGCCTATAACTGGGATTATTTGAAGACCACGTCGATGTCCAGTAAGTTGATCCTTTATTTGAATCAAATCACTACGAAACCCGACCATAGCATTCCTGCCTCTTGAATCAAGTCTTGATGGACCGGTTGGCAAAGAAGTCCTCTCGCTCTGATGCAGATCTGTTGAGCCCCACAATTTCTTAAGCTTAGCGGCCTTCGTCTTAATGGAATTAATTTCATCTGCAACCATCTCAAAGTTTACACAAAAAATTTGGTCTCTCGTTTGTCTTTCTTGAAAACCTTCCTGACCAAAATTCTTCGATATATGTGATTCCATAATATCTTCAGCTTTGTACGCTGCATCTCGAATTTCCGTTTCCAAACATTGTACTTCCTTGCTCCTTCTCTGCAAAGAATCATCCAGAAAATCTAGTAAGAAATCCAACTTTCCCTGGAGAGATTTAATTTGTTGGTCCTGAAGAGGAGTTTGATGTTGTTGTAGATGAGGATTTGATATCTGCTCCAGAATCTGACTGAGAGATAATACAGCAGCATAAGCCATCTTTGAGTTCTTCACAGAATCTGGTCGAGAGATAATAACATTAAATTGCAGCCCACCTTAACAAGTGGTGGTTCTGGGAGGTGGAGGTGGAGGAACTGAGTGGAGGGAAGGGATGAAGCAGAGTACAGAGAGAAAAAAGAAAGGGGTGGGTGTTTGAGTATGTGCGCGCAAGTATTATTACGCAATCGTACAAGCTTTTGTTAAGTTTCCAAGAAAATACACCATTTGGAGTCTATCAAAGTCGAATTAACCACATTATATTATAACAAAACTTGTTCAATCATACCAGACAATTTTTCTCCTTCCATGAAAATATACATCAACTTGTATTCAAGAAAATTTCTCATTATCCAAAACTTAATTTTTTCCCAAACTCATTATCAATCACCCAATCTCGTGATAAAATATTTTGTACTTCAATCCAATACTTGAATCATATATTCTCCAAAAATTCTCAATTACAAAACCTATTTTAACAAAATTAAAAGGGTGTTTGGCACCCATTAATTTTTTTTAAAATGTTTCTCTTTCTTAATTATAACCACACATTTTTTCGTCAATCACTATTCCAAATCTTATCCTACTTGAATAAAAAGTGTGAGTTTGGTGTCACTATTCCTAAGTCATATGGCCAATAAAGCCGAGCCATATTTCGAGTTAGCCGGCTAGCCAAGCCATTTCTCTCTGCCTCATTTTTTTCTTGACACGCTCTATCTTTCTCCATGGGGCCGAGGCGCCCCTCCAATGGGGAGGCGCCACTTGGCCCTTATGTGAACCATTATGGAAAATGCTATGTACAAATAGCATTTCCCTAAAAAGAGTGAATTTGGGGACACTATTCATAAGCCGCGAAGCCAAGCCGAGCCGAGCTGGCTAAGCCGGCTAAGTTTTTTTTTTTTTTCTTTCTTTCAGAATCCGCGAGCCGAGCCAATTCTCGACTAAGCAGTCTAAGCAGTTTTTTTTATTAACGTTTGATTCGGTATTTTAAATTACAAATATGTGTTTTAAGCGATTTAAAATTTGTTGGAAATATTGAAGTGCGGTAATGATAAATATATGATCGATAAATTTTAAATATCGAAAATAATTTTACATT